CTCAGATATAGCCTAGATTAGCAAATATTTATCAAAGGCGTTGTGTTTTTTCACCTGTGATTTTTATTTGAAATTTTCTTTTGCAAGCTGTGAAAATTAAACACAAAACAAAGAATTTGGAATACTAATTTATTTTATAAAATATTTTTTATGCAAATTTTAATCAAATTACCGATTATAAATTAAGATTTTCAAATTATCAAAATGTATACTTCTGCAAAACAGTGTTAATGTTTTTATAAAAAACTGTTCTTTACAAAAAAAATTATTTTTTTTTAACCCTTTAGTTTTCAAAAGCGTCACTATAGCGGTAAAATGTAAAAGCAAAATATGTTTCAAGCAAATTTGTGAGGAATCTCTTAATATACATAAAATATATATTAAAAAATATATTTTTAATCAATTTTGAAAAATTGTGTTTTTGGAATGATGTAAAAAGCTTTAAAATTATATAAAAGAGTATTGATGTTTCCAAAAGGTATCGAAAGAGACTAATAATAATTTTTCTTGGCAAAAAATTATTTTTGTTCAAAATTCGCCACTTGAGCCTCTATCGCCTATACAGTTAGCTACTTGGACTCCTATGTAATTTCTTCGTAAAACATAGTATTTACTATTGTATATTCAAATAAAAAATAATATTTATAAATAAATAAGACTCTCTCAAAATTTACCATAAATTAATGCTTTTTAAAATTTTAATTATTATTTTTTATTTAATTTGACTTTGTTGTCACTTCTAGCAAGTAAAATACGTTATAACAATTTAGAAATAAATTCTATGTAACCGAAATTGTTGTACCTGTTGATACATGGTTAAATTTCTGCTAACTATATACCGTTGTAATTGAAAATCGGTTATTTATTAATGCTTCATTATTGAATGCTTGAGAATTTGTGTCAGAAATAACTAACGATAAAAATTGCATCTCTGTTGCCTACATTTAGGCGCATTGATTTAATAGCAAATTAGTGAGAATTTCTCTAAAATCATTAACAATAGTGTGTAGTTTAACGGACTAATAACATTTGTAGTTTGCAATCTTAAAATCTTATTTGAATAATTATTTCAGCAATAATTACAATATTTGAACTCAGTGCCACCTAGCCCTGAAATATTATGCTTAGTTTTTTCAATAGACCTTTTTGCTCCTCACACCTTATTTTAAGTTTTTGAAAAAGTTTTTGTAGTAAATACTGTTGCTGTTACCGGGTATTTTAGCTGTATTTTTCGAACATAACCTCTTTGGACGCTACCTACAACGTCTCTGCACTGTCGCCGCCTTCAACAGCGCTATTAAAATGTATTCGCTTTTATTGTCACTTTTTGTTTTTCAAATTTCGTGCCTTTCGCTTTGTTGCATAGTTGTTGTAATGCGGTGTAATAAACGCCTAAATCTGTATTGACTATAGAGTCAGGAGAGGGAGAATGAAAGTTGCGGCAGATGGGCGGCCGGACTTATACTTACTTGTAAGAGCTGCAAACTTATGGACGAGTCAAAAATTTGGAGAAACTCACTTCTACACGACACAGCTGCTATCCGATCACGAATACTTCAAAAAGCACCTCCACAAAATGAGAAAAGTCGCAGAGCCGTCATGCCCATACAACGACGCGACAGATGGCAACGAGAACACAGCGCCGTTGAAGACCTGGTTAATCCAATAAACGCGGATAAATTTAATAAGCGTGATGCTAGGGAGCAAAGTCAACTGGGGGACTATTCAGAAATTCGCAGCAATTTTGCGGGACCTCGACGCAGCTGCGCAGATGTAAAACTCTCAATTAGAAAAATGGAACGCCATCCTGACGTAATGCAAACGTGGTTTCGGGGTGGGCGACACTTCCTTACAGGGGAAGATTTTTAGTGTCCTGCAAGTGGCACATACTGTTGCTGTGTCGACAGCATTGATGATGCGGAAGGCATTTTCCACACCCTCAGCCACAAAAAAAAAAAAATGGGTCAGGCAAGCAATTCGTAAATGGTACTGATAGCTTAACTTTTCAGACTCGATATTATTTGGCAATTTTTGGTAACAGAAAAAAATCATACATGAACTTGCCCTACTTCTGAAAAATTCGACGAAACGTAGATTTTATATGTTATCCATAACTGTAGAACCATTATCTGAAGACCCTATTCAAATGATCTGTATGATGGGCTGAGATATCGAAAAATTATTCATATCGAACTACTATAGCATATACAAACTGACCAATCAAAATCAAGATACCCTTTTAAGCTATTACAACTGCATCTGGGAAGGTTATTATAGCATCGGTGCAGCCGAAGTTAAGGTTTTTGCTTGTTACCTTTAACTTATTTGCCATTAGTTTCTTGATTTTTTTTTCATATTTTTCATCAATCACTTACCTGATTGATTTTGATCAACTCTTCAGAGCATGATCTTCATATGTATAAATAATTTTTCTCCCTTTTTTCCTTAATATTGGACTTGGTTTCGATAATCTCAACTTTTTTCACATAAAGTGTTGATCTTGAGCTTCTTCTTTGAAAGTTTATGAATTTAAAATCGAAGTATTAAACTTCGTTTTAATTACGATCATGATCGCGATCGTGTTTTTAATGTTGTCGTTTTATAAATAAACTAGATCTTAAGCTGCTTTTTGTTTTTGTTTTGGTTTTGAGTTTTATAATCTTCGTCTTTATTATGATCTCGAGCTCATTGTAATAATGATTTTGATCTTCATCGTTATATTAAATTTTGTTGTGCTCAATTTAGATTTTAACCTCATCACTTCCATTTTGTTCTTGAATTTACTCTCCATTCGCTGTTGCTCAAGATTTTGTTATACATAAATCTTTAATGTTTTCTTGATTCTTGTAGTGGCCTAAGTATATTAAGTTTTCTTATGTTACGTTCTTTGATTTCTGTTGAGAAACTATACTGATTTTGATGCTCTTCCAATAATATGGTCTTACTTTGATATTAAACTTGCCGCTTATATTAAAGGCTTCAACTGGATTTTCATCGTGATCTTAGTCATAATTTCGATCTTGGACTTTGACTTTGATTTCGCTAATTTCTTATCTCATTTTTGGTTACGTTGTTTTGATCTTAATCTTAAGTGCTATCTTGATTTAGAACTTGATTGTGTTCTTAATTTTTATCATGACGTTAGCGTTATTCTTAGCTTCAATCTTGGTTTCTTTTTCGTTTTCTATGTTACTTTCAACCTTTGTCCATGTTTTTGGGTTAAGACTACTAGTTTGCTTTACCCCACCCCATCTCTGATTTTTATCATACTCTTTACAACACAAAATATCGTTACCTTGTCATATACTTTGTTTGAAAGCGTTTAGCTAGCTTCCTGAAAACCAAACTAATAAAATTTTCTCAAATAAATCAATTGTTTTAATTTCCTTTTACATTTTGTTTTTTTCTTTTGTTTTTTTGCTTATCGATTTTCTAACTAACTATTGAAGCAATACCTTCGCAACTTATAGTATTTTCGGCTTTACTTTTTGGCAACTCAATAACTAGCGATTTTCACACTGTCATGCCGAGACAATTCATTTCACTTCTATTATTTCTGCTCTTTCACAAATTGTTGGTGTGGTAATTGATGGCGCCAGAGCTGTCAGCGCGTGATTACATTACCTACAACTAATTCAATGCCGGCTATAGAAGAAATGACAATAAATATGTTGATGATATTTTTAGCGATCAGCCATAGCAGCATCGCAGCTCATCACAATCGTGCTTCAATTGAATTTATTATTGCAAAAAATAAAAATTTAAAAAAAAAACTAGATAGTCACTTTTAATTTATGCATGCAGGAAGCAATTTAAATGTTGGAAACACGAATGTACAAAATTTTCTTGAACCATGGCGGATATGCTGAGAAACTATAAAGAAGAAATTTTGTGAAGAAAGTTTTGTAGTTTAAATATGTGTATATTTAGTAGTAAAAATCTGAGGTAGCAAGGAAAATCGCTAAGCTGGATTGCAGTTCTTGAAGGAAGTTATCCGTAGCCAAGCGGGGAAATACATTCAAGTGTTGACGAAAAACTTATTTTAAACAAAACTCTTATACTCTGTACTCTATTTACATGCTGCGATAGTATAAAAATGTTCCGAATGAATTCAATAGTCATTGTTCGCGGAAATCGTGAATGAATTACAATCAAATTTGTATCTGATTAACTTATATAATAGGTTATAAACTCAACTAGTTTTATAGCTAAAATATATTTTACTTTCCGTCAGCGAAAATTATATTAAAATCATCTACAAATGAGATATATCTGATGTAAACTCAATCATTCATCATTCATGTGCAAAACGTCAACCAGAGTATCAGAATTGATTAAAATAAGGATATGAGGTTTGGACCAAGGTCTAAACCAATACATTCATATTCAACGCTAAATCGCATAATTTTTAAGAAAGCTTGTCCCCTTAAATTTATTAAAAATATCAGCTATTTTCACTAATCTAAAAAAAAGTTAAAGATAGGTGGTAAGTCGGAAATCACTATAGAGAGTATATTGAGGGCAGAAAAGGTCTGAGCTGATTACACTAACTTTTGACATTACTCAAATATACTTGAGAACATATTTTCTAGCAATTTCATAAATATATAACTCACACGTTGACCGAAATATTCGGCATAAAGTTTTTTCACTATTTTTAGTATATGGTAGTTGGGGTGATTCGTCGACCAACATCACATATTTTTGGCATAAAGCTATAGTATATAGTTGGCGTGGCGTGGTACTCTGTAGCAACATGTTAAAAGCGTCTAAAAATAATACGTGTATTGTAGATATGCTAAAGATACGCACTTGCCGCTTTACTATTTGTCAACTCATTTTTTCTATCCTTTTCACGAAGTTAAAAATTTTGTATGTGCTGTCATACTGTATAGTTTTTAAAATATCGTATTCTTTAAGTCGCAAATATAAACTTTACTATGAAGAGATTTTAGATATAGGTATGTATATGTAATATGTATAAATAATAAAGACGGTTGTAATGTTGTTTGTTAAAATGTATTTAATATATAATAATATGAATAACTCAGTAATGACTACAAATTCAGATATACAACAAGTGAAGAAATACGAAATAAATTCCGCCTAAAGGTAGACTACGCGCGCATAGCATAACCTATTGCCTACTTTTGGGCATACGTTTTTGCAATTGGATACGCTAAAGTATGTGTAGCAACAAATTTATGGAATTGCTTTTGTTGTTGTCGCTTATGTTGTTGTTGCATACGCAACATCACCCAACTGGGTATATACGAATCCAATAATGAAATATGTTGACGTTTGGCGAAAATATCTGGAAATTGATTGATCTTATTTGGGTTGGTATCCACACTTCTCAGCCGTGCATTGTAGGTTGGTGATTGCGTTGTAGTTGTGCTGGTGATGCTGATAAAGGACGGTGGATAGGGTAGTTGGTTGGTATAACCTAGACGAGTGTCCTTTTCAGATTGTCGTTTCGGCGCATGAAGTAGCTGATTCGATTGACTTTTATGTTTATTAGCTGCGTGTGCAGTGCTCGCTGCGACTCCCAATTGGTACTGAAGTAACGGGTTTTTGGCATATAAAATTTCTGAAGCCAAGGGTGGAAGTGACGCTTGACTGATTACCGGTTGAGGCAGTTGATAGATGCTTGTTGGTAAACTATATTGGCTAGAAGATGTAGTAAAAAAAATTAAAAAGTCTTTTGGTAAATTGAAAAAAATAAAAGGGAGAAAATAAAGCTTAGCGGAAGCCCTATCAGAATTAACTCTTAAATAAAAATATATCTAGGTTGTGTAAAATTTAATGTTGCGGCTATAAATACTTTCGGCACGACTAACAACAGCTCTTTTGGAGCGTTATTTAAGCCACACATCTCTTTGGATTTAAGGTATACGCTAAAACTAAAATTAATTGAAAATAAAAAATATTATTTCATTATTAAAAATTTATGTATATTATTTGTCGAGCACTAGCTTCTTAAAAATTACATATCTTTAAATTATATAACTCGATGCATACATGTTGTCTATCCTTCCATTATCCAAATGTGTTATATGAACTTTATATATAACCCACATGAGAAGTGCAAATGAGTTAATGTTCGAATAAAATACTGCTTTTAAATCGACGTCGCCTAAGTTTGTATACAAGCAGTATGCTGGATTAAGCAAAATATGATTATTACAAAGTAAGTTTCTCTAAAATCTGAACTTCGAAGCCTTCGTGCAGATAAAACAGTTAAAAAAGCGGTAAATTATATATATTATCCTATCTCTATGAATATGAATGGAAATATTCTGAATAATAAAAAATTGTTAAACCAAATTAATTAAAATAAAACAAATGTATCTTATAATATAAAAAAATTAACAAAAAAAATGTGTTTAATATTTTTTTCAAAAAGCAAAAATTATGAAAAATTTATTTTAAAAAATAAATGATTCAACACAAAATCGAATTTAATAGACTGATACAAATCAAAAGAAAAACATTATAATTAAAAAAAATAATTATTAATTTACTTTAGTTTTTTAATTATTAATTACTTTTAATGAATTTTAATTCATAAAATTACTTAATGTTAAATAGTAATTAAAATAATTTTTGAAATAGATTTAAATAATTTTTTAATTAAGTCAATAATTAATTGTTTTTAATATTTTAGTAAAAAATGCATAAATAAAATAAATTCCAATTTAATAGTTTGATAAAAATTAAATAGAAAAAAAATTAAAATAATTCATTAATAATTGTAATGGTTTTTTAATTAAATTTCAATAATTATTTAATTAAATTATTAATTAATTTTATAAATTTTCCTCAACAAAAAATTTTAAAATTTAAAATTCAAAAGTTTTAAAACTTTACAAAATAGTTACATTTATAAGTAAACTAAAAAGCTTTTATATTTTATGAAGTAATTAAACATAAATTCGAATTTAATAGTTTGATAAATATCAGAAAGAAAAAAAATTTAAAGAATTAAATTTAATTAATTACTGTATTACTTAATTAATTTACTGTAATTTTTTTAATTATTATTTAAAATTAAAAAAAAAATTATTAAATGTTAATGAGTTATAATTAATTAATTTACCTAATTTTAAAAATTAATTAAAAATTATTTTTAAATAAAATTTGCATATATTAGTAATGATTTATTATTTTTAATTATTATAAATTTTCCTCAACAAAAAATTTTCAAAATTTAAAATCCAAAATTTTTAAGAATGTATGAAATACAAGTAGATATATAATATTTGTAACTACAGAATTTTTATTTTATATAATATCTTTTTTTTGGCAAAATTTTCACCTTATTTTTCAATAATAAAATAATATTATTTTAATGTTATAAAAAATTTTAAAACCTTATATTTAAAAAAATATATATGTATAAGTAGTATATGGATACATACATGTATTATTTTTGTTTTTACAAAGTTGCACTTATTTTGTTGAGTTGTTTTTTAAATAACCGATCATATCAATAGCAAAATATTATTAGCTTATTATCAAGCAATAAAAAGTAATGGTTGTTATGAACTTTCTAGATAAATTTCTCTTATTTTGTAGAAATGTCAATAATTTATTATTTAGTAATAATTACATATAATTTTTTTTAATTTCCAAATTTAATAAAAAAAAATTATACATTCTTTTAATTTTTTTGTTTTTTTTTTTAAGTTGTGCTTGTTTTGTGGAATTTTTTTTAACTTACTAAACCTTTTAATAGCGAAATATTATTGTTCCAATATTAATTAATAATTATTTAAATATTGTTGTCATTTTTTTTTTAATAAAAATTAAAATAGAGAAATATATGCATATACTAAATTATAACTTTCATTTTAATTTTAAAAATTTTTTTCTGTGGTAAATATTATTATTATTTTTATTTTTTACTTGTAAATTTTTATTTTATTTTTTTTTTTTGGAAATTTAAATTAATTATTTTTTTTTTAATTTTTTTGAATTATTTTTTTTAGCTAATCGAACATTTCAATTTCAAAATTTAATTTTTTTCATTATAATAATAAATAATTTTTATCAACTTCCCAAATAAAAATTTTAATTTAAGTTTTTTTTTTACAAATTTTTAAATTATATTAAATTGCTTTTGTAAGATTTATGGAACTATTTTTAACTAACCAAACATTTTAATTTAAAACTTTATTATTGAGTAATAATTATTAATATATTTTAAATTCTATTTATGAACACTGTGCGCTCTCCAACTGTTCAACATTGTAAATCACTTAATCTGTTTATTGCGATTTTCCTACTCGGAGCGCCTTTCATCATTTCTACTTTTTTTTACTAAAAAAAACTCAGTCTTATTACACATTTTTTGTGCGCTTAAATAATTTTTCTTCTTTATAATGCTTTTATTATTAATGCCGCCCGCCGCGTGCTGCTAATAAGTGGCTAACCGAAATATTTTGTAACGGTATGTTGGCATTTTTATTCGCATTGCGGCTGCTGTATGTGCATGACTAACAATCACTCGATCACTCAGTCAGCCAGTCAGTCATTTGGTTGTTTGAACGCATACCACATGCAGTGACACAGCGCATTTGAATGCATTCGAAACAATTATAACATTAAGAACAACAACATTCATTACAAATATGTATTACTAACAATACAATTATCTAATATAACAGGCACTAGCACACTGCGCTGTTAGACTGAATGAAATGAATATATATATGTGTGTGTGTCTAAATGCGCCTCTTGACTCGGCGCGCATGCGTTGTAACGCATCAGCTGATGTTGTTGCTGCCAGCTGTCAGCGGTGTCGTCAATGCATTGACAAATGCCAATTGCGGCAATTATTACGCTTCGCTGTCAAAAGTAGAAATATTGAAATGCTTGCGCATGCGTGTGCAAAATGCAATTTCTACGAAAAAAAAATTTTATATTTTTATTTAATTTTTGAATAAAACCACAAATTTTTCTTTTAATTTCAGCGCTTATCAAAACTGCGATATTTTCACGACTTTAAAAAAATTTAAATTTTTAATATTTTGTGATATCTACTAATTATCAGAATTATTTTTATACAAATTAATTTTTTATAAATTATTTTTTTTTATAAATTATATTATTTATAAAAAATAATTTTTCGGCATTAATGATTTTTTTTTATTTTTAAATTTATAATTAATAATTTTGAGCATTAATAAATATGTTTTTTAATTTTTTTGATAAAGTTATGTTGTATTAGTATAGTTTAAGTTTATAATTTTTTAAATTAATGAAATTTTTTCTCATAAAAATCACTGTTTTCAAATTTTAATTTAATTTAGTTGAGTTTCGTTTTTAGACAAATTTCTATAACAAATATTAAGTTTTCAACAAAAATTTTAAAATACTTCTTTGTTAATATTTTTGAAATTTTTTAATATTAGGATTTTAGTTAAGTTTTTGAATGGAATTTAATTAAATCGCTTCATTTTATTAAAATTTTTATTTTAGTTAGTTGAAAAAAGTTTATTAAAAGTTAAACAAAATATCAATTTCAAAAAAAAATTGTAAATAAAATTTTCCAAATGAAGCAAATATAATAATAATTTTTCAAAAAATGTTTACACAAATTTTTTTTTAACACCAAAATCGCAAATTTTTTAAAATTTAATATATTTGGTTAAACAAATTTAGCTTCCCAATATTTTATTTAAAGTTTCTTTTCTTGAAAAATTTGAAAATTTCGCATAAACCATCTGCAATTAACTCTGTAGGTCACATGGCTTCTAGTGCAAATGTTTATTTGAAGAAAAGTATATGTGTGTGCACGTGTATGGGTAAGTATGTTTCCGTGTCAAACCCAGTCAACAGAGCCTGTTCCCGAACTGTACAACATTTTTCAACATTTTGTTTTTGCTGTTGATAGCCTTTGCTTCGAAAAAGGAAGCAAATGTGTTAAAAATTACCTGTAAAACCTGCAATGCCAACAAGGAAGCGACAGCAGATGAACACAGTTATTTGCATAAAATATGTGTACACACACACATGCATATACATATATAGCTTAATACATATCTGTAGGAAAATATTTTGCTATTGAAATTTTCGGTGTTGTTGTACAATAGCTGGATATTGGTCAATGACAACTTTTCATTTGTTTTGTTCAAAGCAGGCTCGTTGCTTAACTCTTTCGTTTACTGAGCGAAGACGCGAACAACTAACGGTCAGAGTTTGTTGTATGAAAAGCTCATTTTCTGGCTTTTAGCACAGCTCAAATGTGGAATGTAACTATTTCTATGAAAAGCGTTTTATTAGGGGTGTTCGTTTTTTTATTATATATCAAAAATTTAATTATAAATAATGTTATTAAACATCAAGTAAAACTGTTTAAAAATTTTATTAGATGACAAATATAATAAATAATGAAACTATATAAAATTGAAAAATCAAAAAAAGAAGTATTTAATTTTTTTAACACAATATTGGTAAATTTTTTTTTAATATACACTTGTTAACCTCTTTTTAATAAAATTTGTATAAAATATATAAATATGTTACTGGAGACATAACACAAAAAAAAAATCAAAAAAATTTTTAAGCTAGGCATAAATCGAAAGTTCTTCACTCAAATAATATCAACAATGTGTTTTTTCCAAAAATATTTTAAATCAATTTATTTCAATCAAACTTGATCATATTTTTTAACTAAAAAATTTTATGAAATTGTTTTTAACTAATATTTTTTTCTATGAAAAAATAATATATTTTTCAACTAAAAATAGCAAAGCTTTTTGTATTTAAAATTGGTTTTAACGCCTTTTTAGTTAAAAATTGTTTTCATGGTTAGTAATAAAAAATAATAAACTTATAATACATATATAATAAAGTACATAACAAACTGAACTTTGAAAAATCTAATAAAAGTAATTAAATAAAGTAAATATTTACACTACTTAATTATAATTATTTTTACAATGAAAAATTAATTTTTTTTTTTAAATCATTTGATAAAAATTTATGAATTTAAGTTTAATTAATTTATTTTAATTTCATTTTTATTTATTTCTTTAAATAAAATTAATTTGGTTTTTAATAAATTGAATTTAAATAATTATATATAAATTTAATTTAAATAATTCTTTTAAATAATTAAATTTATTATTTCCAAAAAATATTGTTTAAGAATTATTACATTACATTTTTAAACCAAAAAAAAAAACTAAAATTAACCAATAATGTATTTTCTTTAATCTCAAAAGGTTAAAAAAATGTAAAAAAAATTAAATATCTAAAATCTAATTATTTAAAGAAATGTTTTTAATTTTTGTTGCTAAAAAATCTAAATTCAATTTAGTTTAAAGTTCTTTTTATAAAAAAAAAATAATATAATGAAATAATAAACCTAAATTAAATTTCTTGAAAAAATAATAATAATGAAACAATAAAAATAAAATAATCTTAAACATTTTTCTCTGATTTTTATGAAATTTGGGTTAGTAATTTCTTTAATAAAAAAATCATATATAAAAAAAAAAAAATTAAATAATTTTGTTTTTGCAACAAAAAAATTTTTATATAGGTATATGTCTATCTATCTGTATAGATATATGTAATAAATATGTATGTACTTACTACATATATTTCTGCTTTGCCACGTGGTAGATATCATCAATATCTTGCTGCTGTGTTTGTTGGTCATCATGCAGCTGCTTATCAACGGCATATAACGGTCGCTCATAGTCTGCGTTTCTATAATTTTGGGTATACGGCTCGATGCCATTGAAATTTGTTGGTTGGTATTTTAGTTGTTGTTGCACTTTAAGCAATCTGACAGGCTCTTCGCGCTGTGCATAAAGTGTGTTTGACATAGACGGTGACTTGTATTGATAAGCGTGGTCCAGCGTTTTCAAACGCTGCCGCTCTGATGTAGCGCTGTAAGCGGTTTGCCAGAGCAAAATGAGAGAGAAATGTAACACGACTTGCATAATATGAGAGTTAGCTGTTGCTGGGGCCTATAAAATTAGAATGAGATCACAAAAAATTTCAAAAATTAAAAAAAACACTTCGCTAAAAGAGTATGAAGAGAGAATGAGATTTGGTTCCGTCCAAATGTAGCACTGTCTTATTTTTAATAAAGCCGTAAATTCACTTACTACAAATATTTAAGGGTCATCAGCAATTGTTTTTGCGGCATTCAACAAAGTGTGTACAAGAGCTTAATTATGTGCGGTGAAAGATAAAAAAAAAAAAAAAATAACAAGCAGAAAATTAGGTTGTGGAGAATGCACAACAAAACCAAAATTACATAAAAACACTTGAACCAAATTTTGACAATGTCATATTTTTATATATGTATGTATGTATGTGCATACATATTCATGGAAAATGCAAGTTAAAGTACCAAATTTCAAAAAAAAAATATACAGATATTAAAAATACTTGAAAACCAAAACAAAAAAAAATTAAAAAAAACTAAATTAATTAAATTCAAAAAAATTAAATGAAAAGAAATAAATGTTAATTAATAACCAATAATTAAAAATTAAAAAAATAATTTAAATTGAAAAAAATAATAATAATTTAATAAATTGTTTATTAAAATTTTTTTGTTTTTTTTTGTTGTTCTTTAATAATAAATTTTTAAAAATTAAATTTTGAAATAAAAATAACAAAATTTAAATATCTTCCTAAAAAAAAATTGTTTTTCTAAATTTTCCTCAACTTAAATTTTGGCTATAGTTCTTTTTTTGCAAATTAAAATTGGTTCAGAATTCAGACATACAAATAGATGGGGGCTCTTCATTCTCACTAAAAACGTACAAAACTAAGCTGCAACGGTTTGCAATTAAAGAAAGGGCACATGTTTGAAGTGAATGGAAATAGCAGCAGTCAAAAAAACTACAATAAAAGCAGTAACTTTTTTAAATACAAAACTTGATTGGCCACTTGCTGGTACATTTCAGCCGCTTTAGGAGTACGTTGACGTACTTAAAATACGCTCGAGAGCTTTAGCTATAGCTATAAACAAACATACAAACACACACGTCCATATAGAGTCATCTAATTATTTTAGGCATTGAAATTTTTAAATTAAATTTTCTTGCGTTTCAGCTTTGAGATTAGTCAAAAATTTGAACGAGTATTCGAAATGAAATTAAGAAGAATGTACATAGATTTCTGAAATTTTAAATTTTACGATTTTTTCAAAATAGTATTATCTAAATCTTACACGAAATGTTAATTTTCCCTAAAAAGTTTTCAAACGGTATAAAGCTGAAATATATTTTTTTTCAATACACAAAAACATAATTTTGTAATTTATCGAGTTAAAATGAAAATTTAATAGTATGTACTTATTATAGTTAAAAAACATGATTTTTTTGAATTTTTTTTTGTTAAAAACTATCTTTTTGTGTATACAAAACACAAATAAATACATATTTGCATACAAAAAGTTTTTTGTAATAATTTTTAATATTTTTTTATTTGTTGAAAAAGTAAATTTTTGCAGAAATTCTTGATTGAGTAGATTTTACAAAGTAACTTAATGTTATAAAATTTTTATTTAAAACTAAAATTTAGTTGTTAATAGTATTAGGATAGTATTTATGGTTAAACAAATTTTTTTTTTGTTAAAATATTTTTTTTTTGGTTAAAAGAATAGTTTTTTGTTAAATTTTTTTTTTTTTTTTGTAAAACAAATGACTTCCATTCAAAGCACAAAAATATATATATTTTCATATAAACAATTTTTTAACTAAAAGAAATATTTATAGAAATTTTTTACCACTAATTTTTGCAAAACATTTTATTTAGCAGAAGAGAAAAAACGTTTGAAGTCCAAATAAATCTTAAAAGTAAGTGAAAGCACGTTATAAATTTTAATATTTTAATATTGCAATTTTTTAAAATATTTTAAATATTTTTTGTAATTATCAAAAAAGTTAATCAAAAAGAGGCTAGTTAAAAAAACGCCTATAAACAACAATTTGGTTTTTTCGATATAGCATTTTTTTTTTAATTTCAAAAACAAAAGTCATCCATATATCAAAAAATAGAACAAATTAAAAAAAAAATTAAATTAAAATATTAGTGTTGGTATTTTTTGTGTCTGTTATCAATTTTTCTAGTTTAGAACTCATTTAACTATCTAATAACCGTTTGTAGTTCGGATCTATGTATCGCTTGACTTATTTTTTATATAAACAGATATTTTTAATCGCATGATATTTTTCACTGGCTTTTGCGCTTTGTCATTAATTTGAATAACGTTTGAATGCATTCAATTAATTTTTCAGCAAAGGATTGCCTTACTTCTTGTTTTAAGTTTTTAATATCACATGATCTTTTATCACACACTGCACTTACATAGGCTACATCGTGATTTATTTCCAGTACTTCTTACGACTTTCACTGTTTCTTTTTCAATGTTTTTATATTTTTATTTTTATGTCTCTAATGTTATCTTTTCTCACATTATGTCCATCCGCGCGATTAGTTGTGACCAATACCATATCTTCTATACAACAACGTTTTCTAAATTTTTCCTGTTAGCTTCCTGTTATGATGTGATCTTTTATCACATGATCATGTGATCCCACCATATGATCCGTTGTCTGACTTTTTCTATCGCTATTTTATTGTTTTCACATAACTTTTCTACATTTAATTCTTTTGTTTGTATGCTTCATTTATCAAGTGTGCTATCATATCTGATTGTGCATCGTGAGATGCTTCATCATATAACATGTTTTTATTGAAAATTTTATTGCTTGCTTTATCTAAATCATATGTATCAATATTTTGATTTTATATCTGACTATACATTGTGATGATACATGTGATTTTTTCTTCATGTGATATATTTTTAATTGCTTTTGGTTTGTTTGATTCAACTATCAATCCTTTGTGATTTCATATCTGATTATACATCATGTGATGTCTCGTCATATGATTTTTCCTTCCTATGATATTTTTTATTCAACTAATTATTTATTCTGTGTTCTAAAATTATTCATACTAATGTCAGAAAAAACATATTTTTACGCTAATCACATCATCACTAATAAGCATAATAATTTCGTGTGATGTGAAAAACCTGCTCAGTGACCATCTCGCACCAATATAGTTTAAGCTTTGTTTTTCCCAAATCTTTTACAACAAAAAATAGACTTTTCGCAAAACCTGTAACGAGATTGCCTGCAAATTATGGAATCTACGCGAATCGCTTGCCATTGATCAACTGCATTTTTCGAATACAGAAAGTCCAAAATCTAAAAGTTTTGCGAATTTTTCTACAAAAGTTGACTGCGTTTTGTCTTTTTTCTGAAATAAAGCCCAAATGTGATTTTAACAAGTCAAGCTCAGTGATAACTCGTATTGACATATTTATGTATATGTATGTATGTGTGTTTATGTTAGTGCAGCTGTTACCATTAATGCACTGAATACATTTGGTCAGTCACCAACGAAACTCATAAAGATCACGTGGTCAACTCGGAGTAAAAATAATAAATAAAAAAAATTGTTAAGTGTTTCGTATACATATACATATGTATATACGTATATGTGCGTGTGTGCTTAAGGCAAAGCGCATCTGATGGC